GCATCGGGGAGGCAATCAGTTCCTCTGGGAATGTGAGGTACACAAGCCAGTCTTCAACAGCCATAATAGTGAGGGACTTCCTAGCTGAGCCCTATGAACTGTATTCTACCAATTTATGGAAATACTGGGCCAGGAAAGAGATGGTTTGGCCAGACCTCTCTCTTGTAGATCAGAGGCCTTAACAAGCACACAGAGTGAAACTATATTCTCCCATAAGGACAACATTATCAGCCAACACTGCTCACATCTGCTCCCCTGAAGGGTTCAGCACCTGGTCTTCCTGAAGGTCAACTTGCCACTCTTCAGTTACTCAGCCCTAGACTTTTCAGAGTAAGTGAGCATGTGCTTATGCCTGCATCCGTGGTTCTGTTCAGATTTTCTCTTTGCTTTGGAAGGCTTTTGGCCAGAAGTTGCTTGCTCTTGTGTGTTCGGCTATGAGCTTTGCAGCGGAGAAAGCATGGAATTTTCCCCATAGGAAACAAGGATACAAGTAGGATGGCTGGGGGCACCTTGTTCACTTGAAACCTGGGGGACTCTTTAGTGGACAGGCATTACTAGTTCCCCTACAATTTTGGTGTAATTTGACTGAAAGCCACTCCAGCACCACTAAAAAGTCCCTCTAAGGGAATAATGGAACCCAAATAATTCCAGAATCCTGAAAAAACAAACACAAAATTCAAATCCCAAAACAGTATCCGGACATCTGTACCCCTGAATATTGGTATTTGCTCCTTTCCTGAAGTCCATATCTGAAAAATGCCTCCCCCGCCAGGTATACATTCCCAATTCTTGCTCTCTTGTTTTCACCTTCACTACCATTATGAGAAAACATGTATCCCGAAGGTGACAGACCTTCCACGCAAGTTTAGCTGATTTTGCCATTTATTTACACATATATATGCCTTTTCAAAATAATAACACAATAAAAATATTATACAGAAAGAAACAAAATTAAGAACAAACAACAGCTACATAAACTGATTTTAAGGTATCGCTGCCAGTAAAATCAGAGAGGGGAAAATGGGGAAAACCTTTTGAAACCAATAGGCCTTCATTTGCCAATGAAAGAGGCACATTCATTTCATTTCGTTAAAAGTGCTTTAATAGCACAATCAAGAGATGAAGCAGCTATAGTCCTGTTTTCTGGTTTTAAAAAACCAAGAGTGACAAGCACTCCTCTGCTCTAGAGAGGTAACTGGTCACTTTGACATAAATATATTAAGCATGTATCAAAGCAAAAGATTTGCAAATGGTAAGACAATGAAATGGGAACAAGAGCAAACGGCATGCTCATATTTCCCAAGGACTAGATGAACACTCTTATGACACACTAATGTTCTTGGGGATGGCTCAAACTCTACAGTACTCAAAAACCTCGAAAGCATTTCTGGGATGCAGGCATGGGAAATAGGGTAGAGTTGCCAATGAAACAGCAGTTGCCTTTAATAATGCTATATTTTAGTGAATTCATGGTTGAGTATTTTTACCTGTTCGGCCAAGTCCAGCATGGCAATGAATAGCTACCCTTCCTTCCTGTAAGGCAAAAGTCATCACTTTTACCATATCGAGGATAGTAGTGAAAGAAGCCACACCATAATCCTTCCATCCAAAGTTATAAAAATAAACTAGAAGAAACATTTTAGAACGTTATTATTATTATTGCAAAGACCAATAAAAAGTCAATGTAAGAAAAAAATGTAATTAAAAAAGACCCACTCAGGATTACTAGCAAAAAGTCTCCCACCCCCACTACATATTTTAGAGTAGGTTTTTCTATAAGAATTTCGAAGGCTGCATTACGAGTCAGCTAAGCCATTTCACACAAAAGTTGAGCTGGAACATAAAATCTATAACAAGAAAGAGTGAGTCATACTCAGATTACTAAACTATGTGTGTGTGTGTATGTGTATATACATATATATACATATATATACAGGGGTCTTTTGGGGATGGAGTGCGCCAGAGCGCTGCTCCGATAGCTCAGGAGCCCGCACAAATGGTGGTGGTGGCGGCAAGCACCGCCCCCAGCTCCCCGGCGCCGAAAGCACTGCGACTGGGGGACGCCTGGAGAGCACTGCTGCCGGCTCCCCTGGGCCCACGCAGAAGCGCTGCGGCTCGGGGGAGGCCCGGAGAGCCCCGCCCCTGGGTGCCCCAGGACCGTGCAGAAGCGCTGCGGCTCAGGGGAGGCCCAGAGAGCCCTGCCACCAGGTCCTCCAGGCCCACGCAGAAGCGCTGCAACCAGTGGAAGCCGGAGAGCGCCACCGCTGGGTCTCCTGGGCCCGCGCAGAAATGCTGCGGCTTGGGGGAGGCCCAGAGAGCCCCGCCGCTGGGTCCCCCAAGCCCGTGCAGAAGCGCTGCGGCCGAGGGATGACCAGAGAGCCCCGCTGCCGGGTCCCGCAGGCCCGCGCAGAAGCGCTGCGGCTGGGGGACGCCCAGAGAGCAGCACCTCCGGGCTCCCCAGGGCCATGCAGAAGCGCTTCAGCTCGGGGGCACCCGGGGAGCCCTGCTGCCTGGTCCCCCGGGCACACGCAGAACCGCTGCAGCCGGGGGAGGCCTGGAGAGCCCCGCCGCCGGCTTCCGCAGCCCCCGCCAAAGTGGTAAGTAAGGGATCCATGGGGGTGGGGTGGTGGGGTCTTGATGGGAGTGGGTGGAAAAGCCTCCCTACCTCCCTTCCTCCATCTCTTTGCCATCTTTCCCTCCTTTCCTTTTCTTTCCCTCCTTTTCTTTCTCTTTTTCCCTTCTCTTCCTTCCTCTCTTTTCCTCCTTTCCTTCTCTCTTTCATTCCCTCCTTTCCTTCTCTCCTTTTCTTCTTTCCCTCCTTCTTCCCTTCTCTCTCTTTTTCTTTCCCGCCTTCTTCTCTTCTCTTTTTTCCTCCTTTCCCTCCTTCTTCCCTTCTCTCTCTTTTTCTTTCCCGCCTTCTTCTCTTCTCTTTTTTCCTCCTTTCCCTCCTTCTTCCCTTCTCTTTCTTTCCCTCTTTCCTTCTCTTTTTATCCCCTCCTTCTTTCCTTCTTTTCTTCTCTTTCTTTCCCTCTTTCCTTCCTTCTTTCCTCCTTCTGTGGCCCAACTCTAGTGAGAAGGGGTTTAAACTTTAAACCCCTTCTCTTCCCCCCCCCCCCGCAGGCCAGCTGGGGAAGGGAAGGGGAGGCTTTTGAAGATGCTTCCCCCCGCTTCCCCTTCTGACATCACATCCGGTGATGTCAGGGGGCGTGGCATATTCTAATAGCCTAGTAGCTCATTAGCATACCATATGCTAATGAGCTCCTGCAGCTCTTTTTCTACAAAAAGACCCCTGTATATATATATATATATACACACACACACATACATATACACATACAGAGAGAGTAACAATGCAACATTCTGTCAATCTTACCCAATTAAGAATAAATCTCGCATTTGGTGGGAAAACTTTGTCCTGTGGAAGCAGAACCTACCTGCAAATCTACTGCCTTGTAAATGTTCAAAATGTAGATTAACGTTTGACATGAATATTACTGTCAGCATTTAAAATTTACAGATATGACTAAAAACAGCTATTGACTCTTGGCTCTCCAGTCTCCTCCTGATGAGTATGACAATAACTATACTGTCTAACACAGAGGAGTTGTGTATTTTTCAGTTTTCTAATTAATTCCAAGTTATTTTCTTTGGCAAACATTCCTGAGTTCTGCTTAGCCCAAGAAGTAGGTGGCAGAAAACAGCCTGTAAGCACCACACTTTATAATTAACAAGGAACAGCAGCAGGAGCAAACTTACTTCCCGCCTCCATGAAAGCTTCAGGAAGGTAAGTGAAACCACTTTCTTGTTCCAGTGGATTCCCACAGCTAGCATGTTCCCCAGGACGCTGAAGGTTAATTACTGTTTTTATACCACATCTTAGGCAAAGGAAAAAAAAGACAACACATTATTGAATTGTGCATGCTTTCAAAGCCTCCCCCCCCCCTTTTTTAATGTTCTCTCTTAGGTCAGAATAAAATGTTACTAACAATCCAAACCAGCACGGGAAGGAAACCATGTAGTGAGAGCTACAGTAATTCAATGGCAATATATTTCTTTTACCTTTGGAACTGCTCAATAATATTATACTTCTCAATAATTTCCGTTGATGGTCGAGACATGGCTAATATGTTATCTGTTACCCTGGGGGGGGAGAAAAAAGAAGAGGTGAAAATTCTTCATACTTGGTTTTTCAGAAGTAATTTTCAAACTAATGAACCATGCCACTTTAAATAGCTTTGTACTTTAAATGCCTACTAAGCCTATGTAATTGAAACTCTATAACAGAATTAAGGCAATATTAAGAATGAAGGCAACATAGAATATTCACATATGTTTCTACATACCTCTTCCAAATAGTTTAATATTCTTAAACATGTTTACAAAGTGCCCAAATACACAGTAAAATGCTTTAACATAATCCTATTATTCTATTTTAATATTTCAATTATATTTGAACAGTTCAAATGTAAATTGCATTTACATATTTCTTTAATTAAAATCACAGCACAGGTATTTTTAATGCATGAGGCATTCGGGAGTCTAACATACTACAGATTTATAGTTCATGTCCACTGTTTTAGCATTCCATCTAGTTCATATATATGAAATCGTCTATGTTATCTTACATGTATATGAAATTGGTTCTCTTTTACCAGAAATACAGTCTGAGACTAAGGTGTATTGATAAATTCCCTGAGTTCAATAGGGCTTACTTCCAAGTAACTGTATATGAGTACAACTTTACAGCACAGCCTAAACAGGTTTACTCAGAAATAAATCCCACTAGATGCAATGGCACTTGTTCCCAAAGAAATGCACATGGGATTAGATATTTTTAAAACCAAATTTTTAGAAGCTTAGAAGAACCAAATGTTGTCTTTTACCAGGATGAGTAAAGTCCTTTAACAGCCTGTTCCTCCTCACTCCACCTAGTTGGATTTTCATATTTGCAAGCACGTCCACCACATGCCATGGAGCATTGCATATGACCAGGAATTACATGGCGAAGGCGTTCTCCAACTTTAGTGTATTTTGCAGTTGGACGCCTAGGTCTTCCTGCAACATACAGTGTGAGACAAAAATAAAAACTTTCAACAAGCTGTAGCTCCAGCAATGAATTTGTGTGAATCATATTAATAAAAGTAAACAAATGCACTTATATATTTAAAGCAGATTAAATTGACATTATTATGAATGCATTTCCTCAAAACTGGTTTCTCTTGCAAATCTCCTGATGCATTTGTATTCAACACCTTCCTAATAAAGTGTCATATCGAAAAACATATACTACTTATTCCTTTCTTTCACACAACAAACAAAACTGCAAAGATGCTCAACTACCATTCTTGAAAAACAATGCATTAAGTTCTTATAAATTATGAGCACATCATACTCACAAAACATTCTGAAATACTATGAGCACTCAGATATGCTTAGTTACGAGAACAAGATTCGACACCAATGAATACATAAACATAAAACCAAAGTATAGTTTACAGAAATAAAATTTCCAATACTTTACTTCTTTTCTCAAGGAAAGCAGTATTTAGCTCCTCAGGGCTTACAGAGGAAATGGCTACCATAACCCTATGGGTAGAAGTTGAGAGAACCTCTACAACTGAGCTCCGTCGCCTGTGGAGTATGCGGAGAAGAGGATCAGAAGAAGAATGTCTCCGGCCTTGAAAAAAGTTGCTAAAAATATTCACTGTCAAACGCTTCCTAGGTGAACTCTGCATGATCATCCACTACTTGCAGCAGTTTAGAAAAACTGCATGAAGACAAACCGGACAAGAAATCCAATGTGCTCTGTACTGAACTTACACAGAAAGACATGCATCTTTCTGTATGATCTAATAGCTGTTCAGGATAGGCTGATCTGTCTCCATAGAAACCAACAATGAACTCACTAGTGGCAGCTACCCCCTTGGCAGCTAAATTCTATATACATTGATTCTGTATGTGATGAACTGTTCCACTGTTGATATAGAGAGCATAATCTGAACCAGATATTTCTGAAGTGGACAAGGGATTCTAAAACAGTTTACCATAGACAGGATTTTTGTAATTTGAAGCATTCACTGTGACATCTTAGGCAAGAAATGCACACACAGCACCCTGAGAAATAAATATTTTTCAAGAAAATTCAACTAAAGCTGAATTCACACATACCAATCTAAGCCCCTTTCTCACTGCTGGCTGTGCATGTGTGAAAGCCAGAAACAGAGTTTTATGTGCCCAAGTATCAAGTTTGTGTTATGTGAAAAAACACAAAGTGGTTTTAATTGTGCCCGTATCAGATTTCTCAATCAATTATAAATCAGCATTCCTGAGATGCCATCAATCAGATTTCAGACATCCAGCACTTTACAGTGCATGTGTGCTTGCAAGCTTAAGTGACAAGAAAGGCTGCAAATATTCTTATTCAGGACTACAATATGAAAATCAGAACAGGGAAAATAATAATCTCCCTTGGAAATATTACAAAAATAAGTTCATTTTTTAAACAAAATGAGCTCTCACTCATTTTACTTTCAGCAGCAGCGAAGAATGAAAATTTTTCCAAGGCGATTGTGGCATTCTGAAAAACATCCAACCAGTCACTTGCATTTCATCAGCAGCAGGGAAAGGTAAGAGACTGAGGCAAAAAAGTTATTCTCTCATCTTACAAGATAAGTAATTGAACATATAAATAGGACTTGAAGGATAAAATAGGAAAAAATAAATACTTCTAGCTTGATTCAGACAAAAACAAACTAGTCACGTCAATTTCTAAGGCTACTTCCTACCAAAACATATTCAGGCAATCCAAAAATGGATTTGCTCATCTCATCTGTTTCCTCTATCTTCAACAGCAACACATGAGATCCTATAATGTATAAAGGTACACAACAGATCACATGTCATTAAGGATATCATGCCACCTCTCTGAAAAGTAGTTTTACAAATACAGGTGATAGTAGTATTTCTTCAGATATAAAAATCTAATAGCTATAAACGCTAGATTATATGTATAAGCATCTCCCATGTAAGGTCACTGCCAGTGATGGTATACAGAAGTAGTCCAGGTTCATGCACAATCCTCAGGAGGCCCTGCTTGGGCAATTTCTCCTCTCCTTCCTTCTACTTCTTCTTTTTGGTATTTTTGCATTTTGTCCATGCCTGAAAGTCATGGTGACCTCTGACGACTCCTACTGGGGCACAGAGGACCTTCAGGGAAGTGGCTCCATGGCCTGCCTCTGGCCTCCCGGCCCTGGTATTCTCTGGCGATCTCCCATCCAAATACTTGTCAGGGTTGGCCCTGCTTAGCTTATGAAATCTGACAAGATCGACTTGACTGGGCTATCCAGGTCGGGGCTCCTCTCCTCCCTTCTTGAGGGAGTGAAATCATGTATTCAGGGCTTCTAAATGACCAGGCTTTGGAATAAGTGCTCAGGGTCATACGTTATTTCTTTTGGGTGCCAGAGGAAATAGGCTGCTTCACATGGGGGATTGGTGTTTAAAGGGGATATGTTTCAGGCAGTTTCTTTTGGACAAGTAAAAAGTAGACACGTAATCTGTATATCACCTTTGTAATCAGACAGTGTTAATCAGAAAGCATGAAGGTTCTGAAGTACCAGATGCTTGGGGGAAAAGGAATCTATGCTACTGCTACCTAACACATAACCGGTGTCTTCAATAAGCACCTGGCCCACAATAAAGCTTACAGAGCAAGGCTTCCTGCACACAAAGTCTTTTTCCTTGGTTTTACAACATGTCCATTTTTTAATTGAGAATCTTACGCACATCACTGTGCTCTTTCCAAGTATGATTTGTGGGGCTCCCAGGGCTTAGCGCAAAGAAGGGGAAACAGCACGACAGCGGCAGACAAAGCATTCATGTGAAAGCTAGCCCCACAGCCCATCTGTGCAGGGCTGAAGCTTAGCACCATCTTCAAAATGGCAGTACTAAACTCTGGCATGCCTCCCTCAACACTTTTAGCACTTCTGCAAGCATTTTCTCCCTTTAACTGAGATACAGACCAGCTGTTGAAGGGAAGCAAGATTGCCAGGCCACAAGGGATCCCAGCAAAGTTCTTGTCCGGTTGGCACTTCTGAGCTGCGATGCGAGTGTGTGTTGGGGGGGGGGGTACCAACAGCAAGTGGTGCATGATCGGGACATGTTGATGCTGTACACATCTGCATCCTACTCACTGCTGCATGTGCAGTAAGTGTGGCTTTTGGTGCCCCTGTGTGGATCTAGCCAAAAAAGTATCTCCACTTTAATGCATAAAACACTAGCATGACTCACAGCACCAGAAAGAATATTTAAACAGGTGCTCCAAGGGCACCTCACTGCAATATCTGGATTGGATGCTTTCCCCCCCCTGCTCCATCTCCCACTATAAAGTTTTAAACCTGAATTCTTAGTAGTTATTCTGCTTGAGTTACTTTTGTTTACTTCAATGCAAGTGTAATTTGTTTAATGGCTTTGTAAAATACAGTGTTTGTGTCACATGCATCAGATCAGTTGTTTATTAGTTTATTTAGCTGTCAGCCAAAATTGACATGTTGCTTATATGCACGGCCTTATACACAATGAGCACCAGAGGTTGGAATGAGTGTATCAAGCAATAAATCTAAACAGAGTAACTGATGGCCACACTGTACAACATTTTTGCCTTCATTAACCCTCTAAGCACTCTGCCAAAATGATGAATTGGAACAAGTCATGACAATAGTTATTTGTTAGCTGGGTTGTCAGTATCATTCCACTGTTACATTGGGCTATTATTTCATCACAGCTTCTGATGGAACTACCCATCTCCCACCCATGTCTACGTGAACACGAATATTTAAAGAGAAACTGAAGAGCAAACCTTACTGGGGAGTTGTGGTGCCATCAGCACACTCTTATTTTTGATGTTGCTCTGCTGTTGCAGGAGGCCACGCTTCCCAGTGGGCTGTTTATGTGAATATCTAGCTAGGACTACTGCTGCTACAGCAGCAAGTAGGAAGAGCTTTGCTTTCCTACGTGCTTCAACACACAAGCGTTTGCCACTCAAAAGTAACAGAATGCAAAGGGCAGGCAGGGGAACTAATAATATAAGCAAATCACAAAGGGTCTTTTCATCAAGGGCCGGACATCCCAGCAGCAGTGAGGCCACAGGTGAAATATCCACTAGGCCCAAGACTATGTATAAGGAGTGGATAAAAGTAGCCAACCTGAAACAAATGGCGAAGAAGGGACACAGCATGGGCAAATGAAGCTGGATGGCCTAATAGACCAAGATGCTAGAACATGAAAGAAGATATTCACTTCAATAATTTCGGCTGGAATGTTCAAGACAAGCTCTGACTTCAAAATGTTTGTTTTGTAAGCCCGCCTGTACTACTGTTTCAGTTGCTGCCACTATACTCTCTAAGTAGATGAAGCCTAGAGATGCTAATAAACACTTTTAGTAAATTTTAAAAATCAAATCAAAAGAGAATGGCAATTCGTGACAATGGCTGTAGACTAAAACACTGAAGGTAGATAAGGGTGACTCAAACTCATGTTTCTTTTCAGCATTTCAACTTATGCCCTCAGAGCTTTACCTCCTTGGGCATAAAATGTATTTATCTAACTTATATCCCACCTTTATATTGAAAATGTATAAAGCAGTTTACAAAATATTAAGCAAAATAATATCTTAGCAAAATTTCAAATAGTTAAAGCATTATGCTAATAAGCTAATACAAAATTATAGAAGACTAAAAACTATTTAGTCATACTTTCTATTTATGATTTATAATGTTCAGTGACAACCAGCCATTGCCCTCACAAATTATAGTTAAGATTGGTACTCTAAATCTTGCAAGAAAAGGTTTTGAACTTTTTTTGTTGGGCTAGCTCATGTTTAATATGTTGTGGACTAAAAAGAACTATTAAAAAACAATTACCTGAACTCATGGTTGAAAGATATGCACTGCTCTTTACCAGAGAACAATAAGGTAGTTCATTTTGCAACAAAACTCCTGCAGCCATTGCAGTACCTGTTGAAACATAACATTTTTAGTAGTAGTTTTATTTGCTTTTTAAATCTTCTGGAAAAAATTACAGGAAGGAACCAGTGCTTTAATCTAAACGAACATTCAAGCATCTTTGAAAAAACAGGTTGCTTACCTGTAACTGGTGATCTTCGAGTGGTCATCTGTGCATTCACACTCATGGGATCTAGTGCGCACGCACTGGATCAATCGGTGCTGTAGCAAGCTCTTTCTTTTTTTAATAAATATTTTATTGGCTCCCCTAAAAAGGGGAGGTATTTCGCTTAAAAGAAAAAATGGGAAGGGTAGACAGTGGGAGAAAGAGAAAGCTGAGTGATATATAAACTGGTAAATTAAACTGTTAGTAATGTCCAATTAATCTTCTTGGGCTTCTTCTGTGTGTTGTCAAACTTCTTTTCTTAGTCCTGTCACATGTAATTCTCTGTTAGTATGTTAGTAATGTTCCTTTGAATTTCTGTTAATAAAAAAAAATCTCTTCTGTGCACATTCAGAACCGCTTCTTTGTGTGCTGGGTACTTTTACTATTGCTGACGTGGAGGAGCTTCCTCTGTTGTCTTCTCCTTCCGGCTTCTTAGATCCTCCTTCGGGTTGTTGTTAATACTCTCAGTTCATGCACTGTAAATCCTCTTCTTTTCATGCCATTACCGGAGGTCCCCAATTTTGAGAATGGTATCAATTTCATTTTCGCTTTTATATTCGCTCCCAGACTC